TAAGTGGCAGTCTGATTGGACCAAAATGGCCAATTCTTAGTCAGATTCTTTTCTTTCTCATCACTTTCTGTAATATAAAATCTGTATAAAAAGATAGTGGCCAATGCCTCATTAATTAAATTACAATTAGCTGATATAATTAAGTTTTTTTTCTTTTTAAAAAGGAGACAACTAGTGACGAATCATAGTTATGCAATCCTTTTCAGGTTCATATGAGGTTAGTTATGAATTGCACTCTACTCGTAGTATGGTTAAGCATATTTACAGCTTACAAAGATTGAACCCAAAACCTCTGTATTTTCATTGAAAGGATTGCTATTCGCACATTTCCACTGAGCTAATTGTCATAGTTAGCTGATATAATTAAGTGGAGTTCTTGAAAAAGGCCGATATAATTAAGTGTTGCTTGACCATTATTTTGTTGGCTAATGCAAATTAGAGGGGAAAAGCTGTATCATCTACTTGCAAATTGATTGAACACAGAAGACGTCCCGCATTGTAGGATCTAAAATCAAAATTTGACCAAAAAGACTATCTTTTCTCTTCTGAGAATTCTGATTGGAAATTGGAATGGCTTTATCTATAATTCAGTCCATTGATAACTTTCATAAACTTTATGGATAGTGGCTTCAATATGACAATTTATACTTATATACGACATGTTTGAGAGTGCGTTTGCTTTGGCTAAAAACGGTTTTGAACAATTAAAAGTACTTACGGGTCAACAAAATGTTTTTTTGGAGAAGAGCTTTTTTAAAAAGCACTTTTATGTGAAGCACTTTGAGATTTCAACAAAATTTTGGACATGTTCTAATAAATAAATAAAAAAGCACTCGTAGATAAATCACTTATGTCTCGTTGAACATGTTGTATTACACACCGGATATTACTATTTAATACGAATACGTTGTTTGGCGTGATGTATAATTTTAATATCCAGACTAAATCTCCGGCCCCACTACTTTAGTGTGCTCCAGGCCTGCTTAACTATGTCACCCAAAACCTATGGATAATTAGTCGGGAGAAACAACACTCTACTTCTAGAATTACTGCCATCGCATGGGCATTCGCAAATTCTTCCTCCGTTCCATCATCTTAGCATTTGAACTCCAGAAATTGTTCTTCTTCTCTATGTTCGTTCTCGCACACAATTTCTCTCTATCTATCTATCTTCCTCCCCCTCGTTCTTTCTTCTTCTCTATATAATAAATCAAACTAATATTATTATTATTATTATCCCCATTTCAATTGATTCGTAATCTTGCTTTTTGATTAAAATTAGAGTTTCTCATTTATTTCAAATCTGAAAATTTAAGACAAATTGAAAAATTCAACATTGAATTGTTATATTTTTCAAATGATTATGTCTTCATCCTCAATTTGTTTCAGATTTAGATTTTGTATTTGTTCGTGTGTGTGTGAAAGAGGGGCACGGAGCAGGGGGGAGGAGGGGGACAGGTCCTGGGCATTTGTCTCCTGCGGTGAAGATAATTTGCCTTGTGAGGTTGTTGCCGGACTTCGTTAACATTTCGATTTTGATGTTTGGACTCTGGAGTTCATTATTTTTCTATTATATACATTTGTGTGGTTTTTAATAGGTATAAATTTGAGAAAATTTCAACAAACAAACGAGGAATTATCAAAATTTGTTTTTTTTTTTTTTACTTGTCCTGTATAGTACCAAACACAGTATATATAATACGATCATTAGTCTGATATTGCATCAAACGCCTGACTAATTTAGTCAGTACTATGAGATAATTATTTATCCTATCTGATTGAAATAGTTAGTACAGTCCAAGATGTCAAACGAGACTTTATGACAAGAAGATATTTTGTTTTTTTTTTCCTTAAAATAATAATCTTAAACACCAAGTGGGACATAGTGGGAGGAAAAAATAATCAATTATAATGTAAATGGTGGCATGCATTAGCAGCACTGATTTTATGACTTATGTGTTAGACCGATATCATATAAGTAATTAAAGTGAGAATAATACATAAAAGTCTAATTAAAAGTTCGGATTAAATTAAAATTTTAAGAAGTATATGAGCTGAATGGGCCAGTGGAAATGACATAAGGCCCATCTACAAGAAAACAGTCTATGTTCATTGGGGTTGAGCTACAAAGAGATTCTATTCACCAATGCAATTCCTCATTTATCTTGACACACAGATCCAGTATCGAATGCATCCGGAGATCATCAGGAGCTTTCCTTCCGCTGAGTTTTATACAGAGTCATTAGAGGATGGTCCTCATATCGAAGAGCGGACGGAATTTCATGGCATGACTATTGTTGTTTCAGACCCTTCTGTTTTTTTTTACTTGGGAAGCAAGAATCCGGAAACATATCTTTGGTGAATGTTGTGAGGTTGACTTTGTCGTGCTCTTATATTATAATTTGGTAAGCAGATATCTAGAGCTGAAATCAAGTCATAAGTTGGCGTTTATATCCCTGTATTACGCATAAGCAGATCTCTTAAAACAGCGTTTCAGAAGTGATTTCAGTGTTGGGTTTGAGAAACAAGTGTATGTTACTACTATGGATGGTTACCAGGGACTGAAGAAGATGTTGCCATATTTTCTAGTGTTCGTGCAAATGATAAAAAATGACCACAACATTGGATTTGTGGGTCATTTTTGGCGGATTATTGCTGAGATCACTAGCGCAAAATCTTCTATCCTGGTAGTGCAATCTGTATTAATACTGAGGAAGGACAAGCATTGGAGTAACCTAGTGGAAAGTGCTAAGAAAATAGATTGTTTGAAGTTTCGGACTATGATAAATTTTTAGTGACGAGAATCTGAAATCGTTTGCTGTCAAGAAAGAATCCTCGTTGTCAATGGAGGAAGTTTGCGAAGACAACGTGGATAACCCCGTGCCATTCACCAACTTCCAGACAGTGACGAAGCTCAGGGATATGACAATGACTATGGAGATGGGGGACATGGACAGGGATGATGGAACCAATGGTGATGACTGTAAGCCTAATTTCGTTGAATTTACTTGGCCTAGGGTAAATTTATTTTGTTTTGGGTTTCAACTTATTAATTACTTGGAATTTATTGTCAACATGTACATTCTTGCGAGCGTACTATATTGACTTACTGGATTAACGCACATATGACTCTTGAGTTGCTTGTTTACACAAACAAGATTTAGCTCGTTGTTGGATTAGTTCACAAAGTTGTCTAAATAAACAAAAAGAGAGAAGATATAAAAACCTCAAAACATAACTACAATAAGATCACACACTATGGCCATTGGTGGCACGTGTTTAGTTTTCACTTTTGTTAGTGTGACATTGGTTTTGGTACAATGATCAATCACCTATACACCACTGATACATTTTGAACTAATAACACGACAATATGTGATTTAAGTTTCTCACATAACGTCACATGAGTAAATGAAACATTCCCACTTTAGCATTCTTGTTTCATGTATGGCCTTCTCCTTGGACTTGGCCTGAGTGGTGAGGAGAGTATGGGGGACTTGGAGGCGGAGGGGAATAGAAGTAAAACCAAGCTGGTGGCGGTGGTGTCCCAGGAGGTGGATGCGGCTTATGTTTCGGTTTAAGAGGCGGAGGAGGACTCATTCGCCGGTAGCGGCAGTTACCATGGTGAGGATCCGATGAATGCAGCACAAATGCATTGGAGATAAGTAGTAGCCAAAGTACCACAGCCCCCATTTTTGCAGCAGAGCTCATTTTTTCACTAGCAATTTGGACTTGCTTGATTTTGGTGGATCGTATACTTGTATTGTAGCATATAACGAATTTATAGTGTGTTTTTTTGTCAACGAATTTATAGTTATTTATAAAAAGATTTGACCAAACCACCAACTCTCCAACTAACTTTTTTGGCGTGCCAAATTTCCCTCCTTTTCCTTCAACTCCGGCGGGAAAATGCTTCAACTGCTGAGAGTATAAATGCCAAGCTAGATTGACTCTTGCAGAAGATATTTATTAATTAATTAGTATTAGAGTGCATAAAATCAGATTAGTGCTTCGATTAGATTTTGATTTTATCCGAAATGGTAGTGTGGTCCAGTGGAACAGAGTGGGGTTTGGTTTGGTTTGAATCCTTCCAAAGGCTTTAGTTCTAAGCAAACCATAATATTTATAAGGTCATAACTCACCAATTCATCAACATTTAATTAGCCCATGCTTTATTTATACCTGTAACCAGGTTTATTCAACCAATGTCTCTATCTTATTCTTCTCATTATGACTAGATAGAAACAAGCGCGTGATACCGCATAATCTCTCGTCTTTGTGGGGTCTATTTTGATGAGAATAAGTAGAAAAACTTGGACAAAGACACTGTAATCACGTTATCTGTACTACATAACTCAAAAAAGCATGATACCTCTATATATATTTCATCTTCACACTAGTTCCATCTCATGTGAGAATTGCCAATCCTAACGAAACTTCTTTCGTTACCGACGGTATGTCTTCTTGTGTTTATCTCGATCGTCGAAAAGACTAAATGCTTTTGACAAGGCTTAAACCAAAGTTTCCAGTTTGAACATGCCTTGGGGGACCTTAGCGTGGAACATGACACGGATGGGACAATAAAAATATCAAATACGGAAGCCATGGGACCCGATTTGATATCTGTATATCTTTGATTTTGACTTCTACGATTATCGGACAACGACGGATGAAAAAAAAACAGGCATTGCTCTCAACATATTGTACATAAATTGCAACCCATAATTTCTCTTCACGCTTCCTCTCCTTTCCTTTCTCCAATCAGAAATCTCCACCCCATGTGCTTAACTTACACAGACATCACATCTTGATCTGGACCCCTCTGATTGGAATCCGGCCGTCGGATTTTGCTTAGGGTCCCACGTATGAGAAACCCCATCGTTTAACTTTAACATGTTTACGAATAAAGAAGAGAGATTCTACCTTATCACGGGAAATATTATCCGCCGAGAGAATCTCACTCATTAGATTACTTGACAAGTTAAAGACTCGCATAAAAATACAATCGGTAACATCCAAGATTTTGAACTCCTCGAGCGAGGATAAAAAGGGACCGAAAAGATGATGTTTTGAGTTGAGAGCTAAGAATATTTACATTCTAATACCAAATCCACTTCCCCAGTTAGCAAACATTCGTCCAAGCTTTAGAAGGAAAGCCACAGCCACAGGGGTCTTCTTCTAACAAGTCTTTTCCCACCAGTTTTACAATATCTACATAAACTATCTACCAAAGGTTAAAACAACCTCTCTACAACTCGAGACAGTAATTACTAGCCTACGAACCGATGACGTTTAAGCATAAACAAGTCTGGATACACATATATGTTACAGATATCACCAAAGGGAAATGGATATCTATCTGGGTTCAGGTTTCTGTTAGCATCGATTACCAAACTCATACACCTCTCAGACCCCCGATCTCCATGTCATTTGCGAACAGACTTCTTTAGTTTCCTCGCAGCCTGAACAAACCCCACAATGACCTGCAACTCGTCGATTGGCTACAACGACAAAACACAAATTCATATGGTGAATGACGGTATTATAAACCAACAATAGTCGCACTTGCCAGTCAAGGCAACTCGTGCTCAATGCCACAACATGGTTAAATATTGAGAAGCATAAAAGGAAGAACAAGTTGAGCAATTCTGTGACTACCTGTGACATGAAATGCCTTTGAACAACATCAATTAGTTCCTCTTTCGATGGGTTAGGGATGGCGTCCACCTAAAAAAACCGTTCAGTACATAAATAATTGTGGAAACGGAAGTATGGAATGATCATTTGATCTTGGCTGGTAGGTATAAGTACTCACAAGATTGAAGTGTCGCCAATATCTCCATAAAGCAGCCATCTCCAGTTTCCCAAGGTCAATTTTCTGAACATGAGATATTTTAAGTTACGGACCATCTAGAAACGTCAACCTATACCTTCGAGACTATGAAATAAATAGTAAGAGGTCAACGACGGCTACTGTGCTTACCGTGGACCCTCGGGGAGTACAAATAGAACCCTTGGATTGTGAATCACAAGAGAAAGTTCTGCACATAGTCTTGTGAGATGATCCAGATGATTTATGCACCCTGTGCCTTGATCTGTGGGACTTTTGAGTGTCATCGGATGCTGGTAATCAAAAACAACAAAAGGACAATTAGAAAGCATAGTGGGACCAATTCAAAAAAAAAAGTAAAAGCTAGGGAAAGTAAAAGGTTAAGACACAATGGATCCTATGTACCAACCCCGATTACTTTTCGCTAGAAAAAAAAAAAATACTATTCCATCCACAATTAGAGAAGTTCCGGAAAATGGTCTCATTAAATTATGACAGCATTATGGGGCCCTAATGAAGCGGCATTACCATGTCGAAAGGGCATGCACAGTTGCAGTCACACAACTAATAGTACTTAAGTCAAGCACAAACTCATATCAGTAATTATTAAGACTGCTTTCGCAAATCATCGTTTGAAATGCAAAGCGAGACATACAAATGATGATACCGTCTAGTGGTTCACAAAACAGAGTATGATATAAGTACCACATAGTTCAATCTGTTTGAGAAGGTTTGTAACCAAACTCACCCATATCTGATCCATTCCAGTGCACATTCTCGAAATCAAGGTCGTCATCTTCCTCATTACCAGTTGGAGCTTCAATCACGCTAAGGGCATTCCTCTGAAGCTTCACTTCTATGCCGTTTGTGAGAACCTGCAAGATTCATTGGAGGGAACTTAAGTGGCATCAACGGTATAGATGTCAAAAGAAGTACCCAAAAGTGAAAAGATTCACAAGAAACTTTCAGGAAATCAGAAAGAAAAAGCAGAAGCACAAATCCTGTTCCGTTCAACGAACCTATCTGTTCAGGAATAAAATTTCTTATCAAATCCAATCTTCTAAAAAGCATGCTCACATTTCCCAGTCTAAAGTTGGATCGAGAATGCTTACAGAAGTTCTAATACTAGTTTTTCGAAGACCAAGAGAAGAACGAAAACCAGCAATCATGCACCCTCAACCCCAAAACTACCCAGTGGGAAGGGAACTATTTCATTCACATCATTACACATACAATGAAATTAAGTCGAAATCACATTACCGCTTTCGGAGGGAATAGAAAAGTAACGATTACAAAGCGATTTGAAAGAAAATCTGAAAACTTTATGAACAACCCAGGAAAAAAGACAGATCAAGGATATAACTAATATTAGCATCTTCATCTCAGGGGTTGCAGATGCAAGAACTACCAGCAAGCCAAACATGCAAAAAATAGAAATCAAGCTACCAGAAAAATATAATAATTCAATAAAAATATTTAATTCCGCAATACGCGGAATAAAAAAGTTAAGATTATCCTTTAAACCAAATCATGGATATTGCAAATTGACCAAAAAAAAAAAAAAAAAAGACCACAAACCAACTCATAAATCTGAATTCTTCTAATCTAGAATCTCATCTCACTTCATGCAAACCCCTCAAAAAAAATTAAATCAATCATAAAACCCTAAAACCATTGATTAAAATGAGATTAATAATTTTTATCGACGATAAAATTAGATAATACCCTTAAATTAAGCACCAAAATAAATAAATAAAACCGCATCGAAATCCCAATCTTCAATCCCACTGCAGAGAAAAATCTAGTAGATCCCCAGATCCCTTGATAAAATGAACCATGCAAATGAGAATTCAACAATTACAACTCAAATTAAAGGTTTATGAGTTCATCGACATCTGAATTCATCAAATTTACCCATGTAGATGTAGCCCCAATTACTCAGAAACTTATCCAAAACAGCCGGCTTAATTGAATGTGAAATAATTAAAATTACCAGTTAAAAGCTTCAATTCAGTCAAGAGGCATTGAAGATGAAAAGAGTAACCAAAAATAATTACTGAGAATACAATAGCACGGTAGATAAACACAAAACCAAAAAGCATTAAAATTGAACTCGCATTGCTTAATCACGGTTAATTAAGAATTAAGTAATTCCAATTAAACCCGGATTTCATATTTAGCAATATCCAAACCCATATTTCCACAAAAAACCCAAACAGACGAAGGAAATTACCAGCCAATGCCACCCGCCGAGCCCGACGGCCTTCTTGACGACGCCCTGGAGGCCAACAAGCACCGACTTGGTCCGGTTATTCCCCGTGACCACCACTTTTGTGTGGCGGGGAAGCACCGACAGCTCCTCCTCACTGCTGTCCCCGCAACTCTGCAAGTGCGAGAATCCGCCCCCATTGACGGAGCTCTCCATTGCCTCGAGCATTTCCGGTTGAAAACTCAGTAGTAGTGAGTCAATAACTCAGACAAATCGTCGTCGTTACAACTCAAAATTGCATTTAATCGAAAGATCACGCATTGCTCTGTGCGTATTCGGGACTTTTAGAGAGAGAATGGAGGGAAATTGGAGCGGAATTTGGGATTTTTCGCAGAGAGAAAACACAGAGACTGAGAGAAAGGAGAGAGAGAGAGAGAAAGGCGAGGAGAGAGAGAGAGGGGATGAGAGTGACTGGTATTGTTTATTGGTGTGTTGCTATAATCCCGAAGACCCGCCCCCGACCAATCGGAGAGAGCCACGTCCGGTTGTAGTCCTCCCAAATTATGCGTTTTTAACACTGTATGCTGAGGTCGCGCGCATGATGTAATACCACTAGCGGTTTGGTTTTTCTTGGAGGTGGGTTACTGGGAGTTGACCGTTTGACTAAGAGGTGGATGTGATAGGGACTGACTAAAATGACGTAAGTACCCTTATCTGTAATTTTAGGAGTGTATTCTTTTGCAGTGGTCTATAATTGGAGCTGCTGCCAGCCCGCTACAGTATGGTTTGAATTTTGAATTTTTGTTTTTTAGGTTTAAGCGTCAATAAATGAGTCTACAAAATAGAAACACAACGGTCAATACGTGAGCTGGAAAATCTATGGAGATGGATTGATTTAGCTGGAAAATAAATATGCATACTACTATTGCAACATTAAAGTATCGTTTGCACCAAAAAAAATTAAGAAATTAAAGTAATAAAATAATTAATCGTGGGTCTTATATGGGCGAGTTCAAGTTTATCATAAGGCATGTATAGGCTTGTGATACAATCAATTTAACGTCTGGTTGTATATTAGTTTATGTTTTGAAACTAGCGTTAAACTTTTTAAAAACTGATATGCACCATACCATTTTCTTCTTCTCAATGCTCCTTTAATTTATTTTCCGTTGAATTATGTCACACCCCGGAGACTTCGGGTTATAATTTATTTTCCGCTGAATTATGTCACACTCCGGAGACTTCGGGTTATAATTGTTTTTTTCTGTTCAAATACCACACATAGGAAGGTGTGGAAATCATTTTAATCTTTTACTTTGGGTAGTGCTAATCACACACTTATTTTTACTTCTCATGCACTTTTATTAATTTTTACTACTCACACATGCTTACTAATTTTTTCTGTTAGATTAATGACATAAAATTATTAATAAAAAAAAGAGCAGTTGGTAATTTCAGAAAAGGAGGGAAAAGCGTTACGTGGGAAGGGACAGGGGACGTAACGGAAATCCGAAATTAATCCCTAGGGAAGGAGGACCCCACCGGACTGAGAGTGAGAGAAGTGGAAAGGAAAGTGCTCCACCTGCCGACGGTGTTGTCTTCATCCGACGTGGGAGTTGGAATGCAATGCCCTATTTGTACACCTGTCCCTCACGCGGTAGCACCACAATTTTTACTTTTTACCTTTTACTCGCCCAAGCGAGATAATGTAAACAAAGGTTAAATAATCAGTATCATTTAATACTATAGTTTAATGATATTATTTTTTATTTATAAGTGAAAGTTTTAAGTTTGGTTCTCGTCAAAGACGAATTTGAATTATATTATTGTTAGCCTGTTATAAGATAACCTGCAATTGTTTTTGTAAATAATATCATTTGTTCAAAAAAAATATTAATTAATCAGTAGTTTCCCAAAAAAAAAGTTAATTAACCAGTAAATACTAAATAAAAATAAACGTATCTATCGTTTACCGCTTTTAGTGGTGCAATCTCCCGCCCAAACCAAAGCGTTTTCAGCCGTTGAGTAAGGAGGACCACATCTGCTACCGTTGGATGATTAGGGGTTTGATTGGATAGTAGTATCAAGAAAAGTTGACATGCTCCTAAAGCATGTGTAATGATCATAAAGTTAAGGAGCGGTGGACTTTTCGGACACCTAGGCATAAAAAAACCTAATCAAAAGGAACATAACAAAACATGATCTAGAATTCAAATTTGTTGTATTTGTTTTTAACAGAATAGAAAAATACGGAACTTAAGTCGATTTTGTATGTAAATTTAGAATATCGTATACATCAATGTTATTGGCTTTTGAGATTCTCGATCATTGAACCTTTGATTGAAGATTCAACGACTAAGTATTTTACTGTATACCATTAAGAATCTCAATGTATAAAATACTTCGGAGCATAGACTAAAATTTTTTTATCAACATAATCAAATGGATGTTCATGCATACTCATGCGACTCCATGTACACCCAACTCAATGTGCACCATCTCACTTTTTGTGAGTGTGACCCAACTAATTAAGAGGTTATAATGCTTTACTAAGTTGGAGCCGATCATACTAGTTGAGTTATATATCATGAATAAAACTGCGTAACTCATTTTTCTACTCGACATATATGATTTCATACTAACAAAATAAAATAATTGTGTTATACTGGTGTGAGACATAAAAGATTTATCTCATTAATATCTACCATATCCACCGTTTTAACATTTACACAATTTAGACACGAGTTTCTTAAATTGTTAAAATTTTGATAGTTTTCGTACCAGTATGAAAAAATTGAGTGGTTACTCTAAATCTTAGCCCTACATTTACCAATGGCTCTCTTTGATTGTTTGGAACCATCATATTTCATAGAGCAGCGCACCACTATATCAAGATTGTCGTGTAGTAAAATTTGAATAGTACCATACTTGTTTTTGTTTTTTGTCTTTATGTGGCGACTGGAGAAAAATGTGATGCAGTTCTCATCAAGTACGTTATCGTCTCCATTTGTTTAAAATACTATTTTCGGACACATATTATTATTAATGTTTATATTTATTATACTGAAAAATGTATAAAAGAACACAAAAAAATATGGAAGCTTTGCGTTGTCAAATAATGTCTGTTGTGTGTACGAGCGATAGCTGAAGCAGACAAGACGATGGGCTCCACTATGTAGCTAGGTTTTCATTTTTCGTTTTATTTCCGAGTAATATCCAATTTGATCGAATTTAGTTGCTAACCCTAACACCATCTCCAACCAAAAGATTCAGAGGGTCAGAGGACTGAAAATCATCTACAACAGAGAGTTAGATCAGAGAGCTGTGGAATCTAAGAGGGCCCCACGGAATCGAAGAGGATTAGAGGGCTGGAGGGTTGGCTGCATGGGGCTGACCAGAAATAGAGCATTCATGTCGATTATAACCGACAGGATTGCTTAAAAAAAAAACTTGAATACAACGGCTAGTCAGTTAGCTGTTGTATTCATTTGTTTGTTTTTTTTTTTTTTTGGTTTTTTGGGCCATTTTTTTTTTTAACTCTTAAAATTTCTAATTTTTTTTTCCTATAAATACCTAAACCATTCATTAAATTTAAGTTCTAATTTTTTTGGTTTTTTGGGCCAGTTATCGTTGTAGTTTTTAAATTTAAGTTGTTATAGTTTTTAAATTTAAATAAGAAATTATGTTTAGCCCTATAGTCCTTTGGCTCTCAGTTGAATACGGTTTTTTGTGATAGGGCTAAAACGAGCCCTATGGTCCTCGGTTGGAGATAGAGACAAATATGACCATGTACTGTTCATTAAAATATTAATATCTTGAAGGATCTTGGAGGACCAAAGGGCTAAAACGAGTCATATGGCCAATCATCGGTTGAAGATGGCCTAATTTGATCAAAGTACTCGTAGGGACTTCGAATTGTTATTGCACACGATATTTCAATTTTAAACAAGACTAATAAGATACATATCCAAGATGTACGTAGTTCGATGAAGAATAAGATCTCATCTATCAATACAAAATTCACTACTTAATTGAAGAGTTGAACTTAAGTTAAAAATAATTAAAAAGGAATTTCAATAAAATGGTCCGTAATTAAAGCGAATTAGTAAAATTTCAGTAAACAAATATCAATTTGTTCTTCACATTACTTACTAAAAGATGTGTGTGGGTGTATCCATTAGTGCGTAATATATTAAACAATTTCAATCATTTGATAAACAAAATTTAGTAAATGTAAGAACTAATAAGAATTTGACTCAACCTAACTCAAATGCGTACTCTTATTTCAATTAATTAAAGTTTTAATTTATTTGTACATTATCATCACTTCGTGACTTCATCATTTTTGTGTGTCGACCAACATGTCTTCATTTGAGTGTCAAAGTGAGCATTCCAGCCTTCCAGGTTGAAATTTGTCAGTTTGGGATCATCTCAAAACCGCCTTTACCATATGTGCATGGCAAAATTTTTTTTTTTTTTTTTGGTTGAAAAATATTTGGATCGAGACCACATAATATGCAATAATTACAATAAAGAATATGATTGAATATTTATATGTGTATACATTAAATAGAAGTATCATATTCTATCCATGTTACGAGCGCATGCAGACCAACCTCAAACATTTTGTCGGCCTCCAAAGCAGAAATTCACACCCATCGTATCCCTATTCGAGATTAATGCATTTGCTGAAAAATTCATCGTGTGGGGGAGGCCTACAAGAAGCCCATCATCCATTGTTCATGTTGTGGACCATTCTATGCTATTCATTATTGCAACAAGAATGACTTCGCGTGTAACCTATGTGAAAAAGATGAATACTAATTGTAAAAGCTTGTAATTCAAGTAATTATAGCATCGATAAACTTAAGAATATGAAAAGTGAGCAATGAAAATTGGATCAGTTATTCTCGTAGGTTATCGGAAGTTTGGTTTTGAGAGTATTTGATTATTGGTCTTAATGATGACACTAACAAATTCTTTATTTCTTAAGTCAACGTAAACATTGGTTAAGTCGAAAATATACCTCTTTTTTCTTATGTACATTTCTAGTAAGTAAACATATCATCAGAGTCATGTTGGATTTATGACAGTTTGATCACGTAGCTAAGCATACTACTTTCACAAGAATGAACCCGTTTAGATACTATCCAACATCACATAAATACAACTCTTAACATGTGAATCTCACTCTACATGTGATTAATTAACCATACACGTAATCACGTTGTCATACCCGAGTTTTGTTATGCAGGGCAAATCAAGAAATTATTTCTTATTTGTAATAACTCAGGTTATTTATCCTATTTTCCATAATTACTTATTAGGCAAGGAAATTAAATATTTTCCTTATGTATTGTTATGCAGGGCTAATAAGACCACTTATTTAATATGATATAAAATTTGTTTATTTAAATTCGTTTAGTTCGCTTAGGCTCTAGGCTCTAACTCACTGCCTATTTAATGTC